CGTGCGGGCGGGGGGGGGGGGGGGGGGGGGGGGGGGGAGCCCCCTTCTGTGAGGTCCACTCTCTCCTGGGGCTCCTCACCTCTCTGAGGCCCCCTGTCTCTGCTGTGGGCCCCCTTGGGGAGTGGCCCCGAGGCCTCGTTCCCCAGTGGGGAGAGGGCAGCCCAGAGCGGCTCTCGGCCGGCATCACAGCGCTACGCTTATCAGAAGCCCCCAGGCCCTTTTTCAGGGGACGAGGCCACCCCCCCGTTCAGCGAGATGCAGTCAGCCTCTGCTTTATGAAGACGCGCGCCCTACGCACCCCTGCCTGCTGATGGTGCAGTTCCCGGTCTCCCTGGCCAGGCTGGCGGCGTGAGGGGGGGGGGGTCCTCCACGGCTTGGCCCCAGCGTCCCATGGCAAGAGCTTCCCTTCTCCCTGTCAGTTCCCACTTGGGTGTATGGATACTGCAGTGTCATACTGCCCTCAGGCCCCGTTCAGCTGTGGGTTTGGGAGTTAGCCTGTGAGGGGGACTGTCCGACTGCCCATCCTCGTCTCACACTGCGGGGGGGTCCTGTCTGTCTCCAGGGTTGCCGATGCTGCCGGTTCAATTCAGCCTCAAGACACAAGGGCTGTTTCCTCTGTATCTTCAAAGTCGCCACTTCTTGGGCACCTGTGCTGGCTGCCTCGCCCACCCCCCCACTCGCCCCCGCAAGGGGCCGGAATTTGACCAGATCAGTAGTTCGGAGAAGACGGGGCTGGGTTTGCGGGGGGGAGGCGGGTGCAGCTTCGCCGGCCCGAGGGAGCGAGGAACATGAGCTAATCGGAGAGGCACAGAGAGAAACAGAAGCTGCAGCACTTAGGAGCCAGTCGTCATGTGGGCGAGCAGCCAGCGCCCCGACAGTCTGAGCCAATCCTGAAAAGCAACGTTTTTGCTGCAACGGAAAGTTTATGGAGCTTTGAACCCAGCACAGGAACCGAGGCTGGGTGGGATCTGCCTGCACCCCCTACCCAGCAGCCCCCTTCTTCCAGCCCAGCCCCCACTACACCCCAGCAGGCCCTCCCCCCGCCTGGGTCCCTCTCTCCCCTTTTCTGTCCTTTGTTCACCCTGGGCTGGACCTGGCTCAGCCTCCCCTCAGGGGTCAGTAGGGTGCCCCCAGGCCGGGGGCTCTGGCAGCGAGGGGAGGTCCCACCTGGCACTGCAGCAAAACACCCATCTCCCCACTTTGGAACACAGGCACTACAGGGAAACTGAGGCACCCCCCCATTCATGTAAAACCCTGTAGGAAACCCCCATTCCCTCACCCATGCTGGGCTGCCTTCTGCTGGGGAAATGAAACTGAGCCATGAAACAGCAGAAAGGACAGTGTGGCTGGGGGAGGGGGGGGAGGAAGCTCTCCCCGCCAGACTGGTGCCCAGAGAGCCCCCCCCCAGCATCAGTGTAACCCAGAGACAGCTGGGGGGGGACTTGCTCCTGGCCTGTCAGTACGGGCGGGGGATGGCAAACGGGCTGTGCTCTGGCCAGGGAAGGAGGGGGGCTGAGGGCCGACGAGCAGCCAGCCCCCTCCAGACATGGCTGGAGTCATTGTGTCCCTGGCTTGGCCACCTTTGGAACCACAGATCTGCCTGGGAGGGGTCACAGGGCAGGTCTCCGGCCTGCGGCCCCGGACATCTGGCCAGATGCTTCCCCTGTCCCCTTGGCCTTGGGGTGCATGTGGCTCTGGAAACCCAGCTGCCCAGGGCCCGTGTTCTGCCTGGACCAGTCACCGGGATGGGGACTGGGCGCTGCCCAGGCATCTCCCTCCCTCTAACCACTAGGCCTCACTCCCCTCCCAGGACTGGGCGAGAACCCAGGAGTCCTGCCTCCCAGCCCCCTCCCCCCATTGCTGCCACCCAGGTGGGGACAGGCCCCCCACCACCACGCGGAGCCTTGTCGGCTTGCGCTGGGCCGCGCCAGCCTGGGTCTGCCGGGGGCTGGCTCCGGATCTGG